GAACATGGACTCATTTGACCTTAGAGAGTACCTGGATTGCTTTTTGATAGTAATTATTAAGTCAATTAAATAATTAAGAGCTTGACCATATAAGCACTTAAAAGTCAAAAGAAGAAATTTAAATTTAATGCGGTAACTTATCGGAAGCCAATGAAGGTGGAAAAGCAATGGTGTAACATGGCAGAATCTTGGTGTCCGGTGACCAACCGAGCTGCGGCATTCTGTATCCGTTGGAGTTTCGTGATATGTGAATTCGGGAGGCCATATAGTAGACTGTTACAATAATCTACTCTACTGGTTATAAAAGCATGAACTAATGATTCGGCTGACTGAACAACTTAAATATTTCACTCTACGCATGTTATAAAGATAATAGAAGCAGATGAGCAAGTTCTGTTGATATGACTTACTCATTTACTCACACTCATTTTCGAATCACACTAGGTTCCTAGGTTTCGAACTTTACATGATGGAGCAATTTGGGAGTAACCGACCGATAATTAAGGTACTGATGTTACTGAATTTCTGAAGGTGTTGTCCCGTTCCAATCAGAACAGGGGCACCCAACGAGAATTTTCGGAAAAATATCTGTTCGGAAGACGATTTGAGATCTAGGATTTTCGGAACATTTGTTGTAAAATTTCTTGCTTGCCTTGTGACGCGGCATTTAGCTGGCGGCCGGGAAGGGTCTTATGTCGGTTAAAAACATTACCAGTTTTGAGAGAAGTTTGCTATCTAAACATTCCTTGTCTCAGAATAAATATCACTTTAATCCTTTTTGAGTTTTCAAGCAATGAATTCACGCATTAGTAGGAAAATTCAAAAAACAGATGTTTCTGCTGGTTTCCGGCGGCCATATTTGTGCCCCTCAACATGGCGTCTCCATACAAAGCTTTATAAATTTGGGTAAACCGTTTTTCCGAATGGCCTCGCATATAAAATATCGCACAGACCTGATTCTTGGTGAGGCCTTTTGCATATTTATCTTCTTTTATTTCCTAGATGCTGGACTTTCTGTATTGAATGGTTTGTAATTTTATTTTGATTGCGTGATAGAGAAAAAAGTCAATTGTCTCAATTTTTTACGAAAAATTCCAGGGCTAAGCTGATATCTAGCCATTTTCATGCAGCTTCGATTTCATATTTAAATGAAAAGGAGCTGTTGGTAGTAGATTAAAAGAAGATAATAGTCACCTTTCAAGCCACATTTTTCACAGTATCACTGAAACTATGTGACATATTTTCTGATACTTCATTTAAGAGGGACGGTCTGGAAATATCGAGCATTGAGCGGCAAGAGTTGTTTCATTTTTTGTCTATAGATAGCTTTTAGGAGGATAAAAAAAAGAACGTGATCTAAATTGTTTCCGCCAAAAGCCTTTTTAAGGGTGTGTTCCTTTCGGCGAATCCAAAAACGGATTTTTGATCTTAGATTTGCCAGATTTTGCGGTCGAAAGGAACGTGAAATCCAAAATTGGATTTGTAACCTTGGTAACCTTTCGCCAACGCGTGCAATATGCACGACAGCCTCTCAAAAACTGACGTGTTTTCTACTGTTTGACAAATTATGCGATTATACCGTGCAGAATTTAGTGGTCGGCAGTTCGAATAGCGACGATGGAACATACAAAACAGACAAAGAAAGAAGCGCATTAAAATTGAAAATTATCTAAAGAATGTCGGCCAGTTTGATCCAGTTCCATAGCTCGGATTTTTTTATGTAACACGATCGAGTGCCTGTCGCGTCTACAAGCGAGTTTGTGGTTAGATAGCAGTTCATTTGTTACTTTTACTTATTTCTGATTTCAAGCAATCTTTAGAGACAAATGGTTAGTTTATGGATATTGTAATGTACCAGGAACAATCTTCTAAAGTTTTCAGATGTTTTGCGGCAAATGACAGCAACGAGAAAACTCTACGGCCTCTATGAATACTTCAACTGGAAATACCGCTGGATCATCTGACTAATTTCGGATCCACTGTGAATGGAACAGCGTAGATCACTAATCCGTTAATCTGGATTTGGATTCTTCGGATTTCAAATCCAATGAATCCTTTTTCAAAAAGGATTCAACAGATCAAAAATCCGGATTTGAATTTGCCGAAAGGAACGCGAAATCCGTTCTTAGATCTAAAATCCGTTTTTGGATTCACCGAAAGGAACACACCCTTAGTGTCGCTTGCGTAAGCAGCGAGACTCATAATCTGCAACGCGTTTTTCGCCCCCCCTCCGGGGGGTGGGGGGGGGTTAGTCCCTTATATAGGCTATACAGGTATGTGCCGCGCCAAAAGGTATGTCTTTTTTAGCTGTTTTGGTCTGAAACTGGGTATCAATTTCGACCATTTTGGTCTGAAATAGGGTATGGTTTGTGCACTCTAGTCTTGAATTGGGTATGTTTTTAGGAGCATTAGCTACTTCTTCATCATTCGGCACAGGGTCCATATTTAAAGTCTCACCTTGAAAGATGTCTATACCTGTCGTTTAGCACGATTAATTAGCCCAATGGGATCTTTATGAATCTACTGTAAACGATTTCAACGCTTCTTATCTGACCCAGATCGACTCTGTTGTTCGCCATTTTGAAAATTACAGCAGTTACCACTAACACGCGCCTTTAAAGGGTTTTTTTCTGTCTGTTTAAACCTGAGTTTTCGTAGACGTCAATCAACTGTTCCATGGTTTCCCACGCGCTCTGACAAACAAGGTTCCTCATCACAGAACGAACGGCGAATAATTTCAAACGACGACGGCTTTTTAAATTATTTTATTAAGATGAAGGATTGCATTGTTAAAACAACGAGGTCTCTGCGAGCTGAATGAAATAGCCGAAACATTCTCTATAGTTTACCTAACGGTTTTCAGGTTGTTTATTTATTTGATGTATGAAAATACGGGAGCCGTGGACGACTGAATTGCCAAGAAGCAAAGCTAGTATAAATTCAAAGAAACAAAAGATATCACACCGAAAAGGGAAAAAGTTTCCTCTGAATGGAGGCTGTTTTCGAAAATGAATTTTACTACTTATCATTCTTCATGTTATCGAAGAGAAACCAGAACTAGTAAGAACTCAGACGAGTTGCGAGTGATTGAGAAAGCTTATGTGGTTGTAACTTACAGTGTGTAAATATGTCGATATATGTAATTTGAGTTTCCTCCGAGAAACACTCAGCAAATTCTTTCTCCTCGTAATCTTGACATGAAGCGGTGTCAGATCCTGCAGCAAAATAATGCAAAAACGGCTGAAACGCCGACATATTCTTCCGAGTGCTCAAGAAACGGAGAAAGAATCTTCTCTAGGCCAACGCGTAAAAAACCATGGGTTGATTGACGTCCACCAAAACGCAGGTTTGAACCGAAGAAAAAACCCTTCGAGGGCGCGTGTTAGTGGTAACCGCTGTAATAACCGCAAGCCGTACCCTCGCTGGCGCAACAGGGCTGAGGCATTTTAAGATCAATTTGTTCAATTTTCACTCTGTTACAAACCTCAAACGCTTCACGCTTTTTCAAGATGAAATTTGAGACCATTCTTTTTTAGCCTCAATTTTTTTAACGGTGTTGGTTTGTGATCAAAAAAGTAATCAGAATGGTACTTCTACCTTTCCTCTACAGCTAGAAGTTATCGCTCCCAAACGCGCCCCGTCGCGTATGTGTTTTTTTGACCTTTACTTTGAGGTATCATGGCGGCCAAAAGACCATTTGTTCCGGAAGGAAACACGCCAGGCAAGACCGCAAGCAAACGACCGTCGACACAAGGAACCTCGCGGAAGAGTCTTTTCCAAGAAAGTGACAGACGTAAAAGTGCTTCAAGTATCCAAAAATGGACTGATGAAGAAACGACTGCTCTCGTTCAGTATATCTTTCTTTATTCAGAAAATAAGTGGACCGATAAATGGCCAACAGGAGAAGATCCCGAGTTCTGGAAGGCCTGCTCAGTGTATGTAAATAAGGTGTGCAAATCTTCCCGTACAGGTTTGTCAACTGTGATTGATTATAATTGTTTGCTCAGTCTCTACTCCTTGAAAGAGAGAGAGACATAAGTCAGTGTCTTTCCCCCTATGACCTTTTTAGTTTGAAATCAATATTATTATTTTTTTAAAACTTCTGTATGGGAGAGTAAAAAGGTATCTTGTAAAAATTGCTCCTTATTTCTTTCTCTTACTCAAAAGGTTGATCCTGTTGCACCAGGGTTACAAAGTTCTTGGCTAAGGAGTTCAAAACCCTTTCAGAGGTTGAGGAGGCACTACAAATTGTCTATGTTAGGAGCTCTGTTGCATTTGAAGAAAGCAGCGTTTTTGAAGAAAGGGCCAGAAGCACCCCACAGAAAACTGTGTTAGTGGACGATGCCTGCCTGTCACCTATTTTCAGTTGTTCACCAAGTAAAGGTGCAGAGCAAAGTGTTGGTGATGTGGTGAGGCAGTTTCTCATGTACTTTAAAAGTTCCCTGTCATCAAGGCTGAGGACTCAATTATTGCAACACATTTTCAAATTGTCAGTTTTGCAAGACCATGGAAATGATTTTTTTAAATCCGTGAACAGTGATTTTCTAAATGTAAGCTTGGGTGCAATGAAAACGTTGTTTACAGAACAAAAAACACAATCTGATTTATGACCTAATTAGATGCTTCAATGGTTTAACTACGCGAATGCCCTTAGACAGAATGCCTTTTGGCTTAATCGATTATAACATCCGATTCTTTGCTAGCAGCAAAACCCAGAAACTTGGTATGGAGAAGCATTACTCTTCTTGGCTTCAGACCATGTTTTCCCAGTTTGGCCAGAAATGGCTGTGTCTCCACAGAGGACCAGCTGAGCAGTATGATGAAGATCCTATGCCAGTGCAATCTGTACAAAATAAGTTGGATCACAGCAGCGGAGCTGACAATGAGGAAGAAATTGATATTATCCAGAGTGCATTGCAGCAGTCATCACTTAGTCTGGATTTAGAGGAAAGCAGTGTTTCTCTAGAACTGTCCTCCACCATGAGCGGTTGCAGTAAGACATCTGCTGAGTATCCTAATCAGCAAAATAGTTCATCTGTAGCGATTGAAGAAGACCAATCTCTCTCTCCTCTTGTCGAGGAGAATGTCATTTCATCACCAGAGCCATCAGATGGTGGACAAGTGGCACACCTCTCACACTTATGGACTCACGCATCCAATATTGAGAGGCAAGAAGTGGAATTGGGCCTCTTGCCTCCTCAGGAAATGGAGAGGCTTCATTCCATACGGCCTACTGGAGTAAATAATGCAAATCGTAATCCATGGATGTTTGACCCGTTGAAGGTTTGTTATACATCTTTACCATTAGAAAAGATATGGGGGTGGGGGGGGGGGGGGGGGAGGGCCGTTGCGGCTGAGTATAACTGAAAAAAAATTCATGCATGCAGAGTAGACCAGGAAAAAAATTCCTGCATTGGCCTTCCACACATTTTGCGCAAATCTCAGGAAGGCAGACAGGAAAGCATACTGTGTGCAAAACATCAGCTCTTTGAATAAACTTCCTGCTGAATTTTGGTCTTGTAAATAATCATATCTGATACAAAAAATATATCTGAGGCTTGTAAGCTTATACACTATAGAGGAGCTGTAACCATCAATGGCACCTGGCATTACTATGATGGACTATGGGAGAGGCACAATAAAGGCCAGGGACTTAAAAAAATGTGCAGCAAATGTCCCATCTACTCCTACTGGCGTTCTCCTGTCTCACTGTGTTTATATCGCAGCAGATCTTTTATAGTGGTTGGACATACATTATTTTATGTATCCTTTAAGGACGCCACAATAGACTTTATAATTATTATTATTATGACTACCCTCTTTTTGTATAATATCATAAAAATGCCTTATTCTGTGGCCAGTGATGAACTAACACTGGCAACTTTCATGTTTGAGCCTGAAACATTCCTGCCGTGACTTGTTGTAGGTAATGCTGAGTACATGTAAAATTTCACAGGGGCACCCAACGAGAATACAGTTCAAAACCATTTAAACACAGGTTTGTTCAACGTATTTTAGTATTTAAACGGTTGATATAGGCATATTTTATCCCCTAAAAATTTCATCTGTTCGGATTTCATAGCTGAAAGGATTATAGGGATCAAAACCTACCTTCTCGAAAATTTCAGCCAGAAAAAAGGCTCCCAAAAATTCTAGGTGACTTTTTTAGGATAAAAATCAGTTAAAAATGGGCAATTACACCATAATCCTAAAAGAGGCAGGCAAGCAAGAAATTTAACAACGAATGTTCCGAAAATTCTAGATCTTAAATCGTTTTCCGAACAGATATTTTCCAAGCATTGTCGTTGCCGAGTGCCCCTGATTTCAGCAAAGCAATATGAAATTGCGCAGTACCAATGTACGTACAATGCAGGATATTATAAGGGTATATCTATGACAAAATTCAATAACCTAAAAGTGAAAAGCGTTAAGTCAAATCTGAAATATACCGAGTCAAAGTTGGTTGACAAAAGACCACGGTAAATGGAAGAAATACTAAAAAAGCCACTATCATATAGGCATCACGCAGGAAAAGGCAACACGCAAAGAGCCAACACGCAGAAAGGCATCACGCAAAGAGCCAACACGCAAAAAGGCAACACGCAAAGAGGCATCACGCAAAAAGCGAACACGCAAAAAAGCATCGCAAAAAGGGCAATTTGCAAAAAGGGCATCACGTGAGAAGTTTAGTTAGGATCCAGGCCTGAATCTTAAACAGTATTATTTAGTACTTACTGCAAGCAAACCAAAATGGTATTCGAACGTGACATTCCGTCTTGCTCACCTTATGAGGTGAGATCATATGGTGGGATCATCCTCAGATTGACGGAAAGAAATGTAATCGCTGTCAATTCCGTTTTGGACCTGTTGTAATGTATCAATCAGGGCACGCTTAAGGTACCAAATAAGCACCTCACAGTCCAGGCCTGGATCCTAAGTAAACTTCTCACGTGATGCCCTTTTGCAAATTGCCTTTTTGCGATGCCTTTTTGCATGTTGCCTTTTTGCGTGATGCCTCTTTGCGTGCTGCCTTTTAGCGTGATGCCTTTTCCTGAGTGATACCTATATATGATAGTGGCCTTTTTTCAGGTACTTCTTCCTTTTACCGTGGTCTTTTTTTTCCAACTTTGACTCGGTATATTTCAGATTTGACTTAACCCTTTTCACTTTTAGGTTATTGAATTTTGTCATAGATATACCCTTATAGGATATCTTGTGTAGAAAAGGCCATTGTGAACTGTACCTTAGAATATGTATCAATTTACTTTCGCATACGTGCCCAGGTAGCCTATATTTAAATTACGCCCTTGGCTAAGTGAACAACTGAATGATTTAATATTTTTTTGGTTTAGTGTTACTTCAAGGAAAAAAAATATTCGTGCGTAACATCTTGACAAAAAATATTCATCCAAGGGAAACATTGAAGAAAAAAAAATCATGCTTCTCGGACCCCCCCGCCCCCCATGACTTTTCTAATGGTCCGTCCCTAAGGTTTAGTTACTTAAATAACTATAGACCAAAAAAGGGTAGTTTCCGAATATAATAATTAACAAAAATCCATGTTAATTATTATTCAATTACCATGTTAGAAGGGTAGAAAAGGTTTATGTATGGCATCTTGCCCACTATGGTTTGTTTCACTCATCTTTATTGGAAACGCTCGCTAGCTGCACAGCAAATGTTTGCTAGGGGTTTTTAAGATCACCTGCAAAAGCATGCTGTTGTAATTGGAGATTTTTTCCTTCCAATAGCATTTTACAGTGAGTAACCTTATCATTTCAATTCTTTTTGATGAAATCAGGACAGGGGAAACTTAGAGACTGAGACAATACAATACAAAACAATAGTTTATTGACACTCCCCGTTCAATGACAGAAGACATCTTGTTCCTTTTCATTTTTTTCCTTTTTTAGATGGAAGCTCTCAGGCAGGCAAAACAGAGCAACCCTAATGGCCGATGGTGGATTAAGGCCGATGCTTGTGATGTACAGAAGGGTTTAAGAGAGAGTATGCGAGGTATATGGGCTGGAGATGAGGACCTCGGGGATGGTTCCCTACAGACGTTGTATGAGAGCTACAAGGCAAGATGTACATTTGTGAAGAGCATTGGCTCAAGTGCAAGGTCAAGCATGGTATCTGTTGACTTGCAGAAGTTGTTGTTGGAGTTGGGTGATGATCTTGTTTTTCTCACCAACGGAGCTGGAGTTGCCAATCAAGCCTACCAACGTGCTCTCCAAAGTGGTAAATCATCTGAGCAAAAAATGATGGAATTGTCATGGTGCGCTGTTGGTTTTGAGGAACTTGTCAAGTTTGCACGGGGCTTTCAGGGAGAAATAAAAGATTTCTTACAGGAGGGTGGTCCTGTTGATACTGGTATAAGTGCTCTCTTTCCGTATTTTATACTGTAAGCCAATCTTGCGAGCCCTCCGCCTCTTGGTTTGCGGTCTGTTGAATGTCTAACGAAACTGTAACTCGATCAAAATAACCCATTTTTTCAGAGGTTTTCGACGGGTTTTGATGTTCTAACGACAAAAACATCTCCTCTGGACCCTGTGCATTTGGTAATAAGACCATTTCCCTTTTAATGTTTACGCAAACTACCGTGTACGTGCCGTAACAGCTTGTCACGCGCTCCGGTCAGGCGCCGGGCTTCAGGGCTTCAGGCCTGAAATAGGGTATCAAATTTTTGATCAGGTCTTGAAATAGGGAAGGGAAAATCACAGATTTTGGTCTGAAATAGGGTAAGGGTTTCAAGAAGCGTGCCGCACACCCCCTCCCAACTTTTCTGCAAGTACCCCCCCGGAATTTTTGGGACACAAAAGGCATGTCATTGTGCCAGGCGTTCCTTGCGGAGACCTTGGAAACTGGGATGGGAGTAAGAATCTTTGCGTGATCGAAGCCACGTATGTTTTACGAAGAAAGCTTAGGAAAGATTAAATTTAGAGCTTTTCCGAAACGTGTCGGTCGCCGAATTCTATCGCTTGAAAGCGTTGATTACTTTGGAGCAAGTGAACACTACTGAGTGGTCGAAAAAAAATAAGAGTCTTAATTAGTAAAATTGCGATGGTCGGGTGTCGTAAACTTCCACTGTATGCAAATGAGTCTTGTTTATTTCATTATTTATTTAGTTATTTATTTATTCAGCTTCGCCTAACTAGAATACAATCTTTTTACATGAATACATACAAATTATTCGGCAGGGAGACCACTACAGCCTAACCAATTACAGTGGATCGTTTATTAAAGAACAAAACAAATACAAACAAAACAATCGTTGAAAGAAAAAAAAAGAATGACTAAAGCTACTGATATATAAACAAGAAAATCAAAAAGGAACAAAACAGAAGTTCAAATTGCTAGAAGCAGCACGTCGGCGGGCACAGTAGAGTCCTCGCTATATGTTGCACCTGGGACAGATTGTTCTCCAGGTTCTGATGTCGTCAACGTCGTACAGGTCCAGCGCCTTATTGTAATATTGAAATAGTAAACGCTTAAATGAGGCTAGAGAGATGTGACTTGTGCGTAACTCAGCGGGCAGAACATTGCATGCGCGAGACGCGCGTATGAAAAATGAGCGTTGATAAGTAACAGTTCTACTTCGCTTAGGGATATGAGTAACAGCATTGCTGCCCGACGACCTGGTAGATCTCGTTGATTGTCTAGTTGCAGGTAGAGCATCACTATCTATGAAAACTAAGTTATCAACAGCTTTATAGAAAAAGACTATATCCAAAAATTCATGCCAGTATGAGATAGATAACAGATTTGTTAGTTGGACGCGGGTCTTACAAGTTACATTGCAAGGGAAGGGAAGCTTCAAAATTAGTTTTTTTACACGGCGCTGCACGTATTCAACTCGTTTTAGTAAGCCAATGGACTGTGGAGACCATACTTGGGTTGCATAGCCGAGATGGCATCGGACGATAGAAAGATAAAAAGTACGACGCGTTTGGGTGCTTTGGATGAGCATGCGATGTATTTCGGCGATTGAAATGACGTGCCACGTAAATCACTTTTTCGATATCTGGCAATGATGTAATTTCTCTGGAATCGGGCCCTTAAATTTTCGTGTATTTAGCGTATAAACGCGTATAGGCTGCTACCGCAGAGGTATTTTTGGTCGTCGCTAACACGCGTAATAAATCAGTTGAGAAACAAATAAAAAGTATCGACGTCGATCAAGTAGGAAGTAAAAAACCTTTAGCGAGTAAATCATGTTTCTTTTCGCTTTTTTTCTCGACTTTTTCCCCCGACTTTTTTTCCGACTTTTTTCTCGACTTTTTTTCCCAACTTTTTTCTCGACTTCTTTCAGCGCTGATCACATACCCCTAAAGGCTCATTCATGCGTAGAAGGGGCTAAGAGACATGACCAGGCTTGATTATTGGCTTTGTAGCTATCTTATTTTTCGCTGAAAATGTAATACCGTGCAGTTTGACCTCCGTACCTTCCTATCTTACAACAAGACAATGCTGAGCTAGGAAAACTTGTTAAAGTCATATTGGAAAAAATAATTAAAAATTGTTTCAGTCTCAAAATGTTCAGGATGAACCGAATTAACCAAAGTGTCAATGGTGGGAAAATAGCTTCCAACTTCATCGACCAGTCCCTGCTTCATCAGCCAAACCCAAACACCCTACACTCAGCTCAAACACAGTTGTTGTTATTAAGTACATTGTTTTGACAGTTGCTCTTAAAGTTAACTGTTAATTTATTCAACTCAATTCGCAATTATTAGCTTTTGTGTTAGAAATACAATTCTGGATTTCAAGCTTGTAATTTTCATTAACAGTTTTGTTCAAGTTTCCAAATTACGTTAAGTTAACTGTTAATGTATTCAACTCAATTCGCAATTATTAGCCTTTGTGTTAGAAATACAATTCTAGATTTCAAGCTTGTAATTTTCATTAACAGTTTTGTTTAAGTTTCCAAATTACGTTGTCTCAGACGTTCTCGCCCTTTTTATCCCTGTTAATCCTCATTTATGTTTTCGCTTTTCTGTTCGACCTATAAGTCACCGGTACCGTTTTCAAATATTGATGTCAATGAGTAGTCCTCTCTTGGTGTCATAAAACGATAACACTTTACCTCTAAAAACTCAAACAAAACAAATCATTTGGAGAAACGTGGGCGTAATTTTAAACAGAATTACAGGCGAAAATGTAACGGTCCTTTTACCTACAGTAGATTTCATCCCCCTACTTTCTGTCTCGCCTATGGATGCAGATCCTCCCGGGGTCGGATTAACGTAACAAAGCAAAATATCTTCTTGTTTCGTCATCCATAGTGAATTACTATTGTCAGACCAGGAACGTTGTTGCAGTGTTAATTGCTTTCGGTAGATCGCTTGTGTACAAGGCGAAGAGTTGGGCCCTAGTGCGGAGCCCTGTGGTATACCGTGTGCAACTTTGGTATTCTTAGAGGGTATGCCATTAATTACAATATACTGTTCCCGTTCAGATAAATAATCTCTTAGCCATGCCAGTAAGTTTCCCGTGATTCCAAAGTTGTGCTCTAGCTTGTGAAGAAGGGTTGAGTGTGACCGCAATCAAACGCCTTCTGGAAGTCTATGAATAAGGGACGGACCATTAGAAAACTTACGGGGTGGGTCGGGCGAAGTACAAAAAAAATATTCGCGCAAGGGAAAATTACATGAAAAAAAAATTCATGCACGCCAATTAATCCTAAAAAATATTCATGTTACGGACTGAAAAAAATTCATACAAGGAATTTGATAACGAAAAAAAACTCCTGCGGCTCAAAAATTCCCCTCCCCCCCATAACTTTTCTAATGGTCCGTCCCTGAAGGCGCCCACAACTACCGTAATTTGTTATCGATTGCTCTTCGCCAAGTTTCAGTCAGGTAGATGAGTAATAGGTCTGTCGATCTTCCTTTTCGGTAGGCCCATTGGTTGCCTGTGACAAGCGTTTCGTCGTCCGAGAAAACATGTTTCGCAATCATGTCTGCTACACATGATTCTAAAATCTTCCTAATTATTTTCCTCTAAAATCAGTTAGCCTTTCCTTCAAAAGTCATTATAAATTTATTAATGGGAGCTTCGCTTTTAGCCCTGACTAAATCGCAATAATTATTACGGTAATTAGTCCAACGGGTCACACAAGCATTCTGTTTTTCCGAGAATGTCACTCTATGTTAATTTCCATTTTGCGATTAGAACCCTTGACAATGCACAAGTTGTTAAAACCATGGATTGTCACTTTTGCGATATTACCCCCCCGAAATGCATAAAAATTTTGGCAAAAATAACAATTTATTATAGTTTTTTGGCAAAATTTTGGATATATCTGTTTTTACCCATCGCAATAAGATATAAGACGCCCCCCACTAACGGTGGTCAAAACTAGTAATGAATTCTTGAAATTGCTGAAAATACAAACAGTTGCTACAGTGCTTTAATTTCAAGACTTGTTTCCTAATTTTCTTGATATTTTAACCTTATTTTTGTTCTTAACAATAATTGATAACAGTAATTGATGACTT